CGTATCCGGGAGTGATGAATCCTCTGTCGATCCACCATAGTCTTGATACACTCTTTGATGTAACCAATCACTATCATATTGACAGCTCTGAATAGAACTACGTTTGGCTAGTGTCAAACTACACCAATCGGTACACAGGGTGCTCTGATGATCTCAAGTCTAAGGATCACATGCACCACCATTCGTTAGAGGATTTGTTCCATAGACACTGGGGTTACTATCTATATGGAATCCTCTGGTGGGTTAGTCCAGTGAACTTGCCTACAGCAAACACCCATGTGTTGCACCAGGTTGTCACCAAACAGCCTTGACAAGTGAGATCAGTCACTACCTTTCGACAGGGTCGTTCAACACTATGATAGCTTTTTATTTGTGCCCTTACTTCAGAATAATTCTGGGGCTATGGACGTTTCTAGAATTGCCACCATATGTGCTCATAGGGTTCTCACTATCAAGATTTAAAATAATTGATACCCTCGTCACGGTTCTACCATTCTAAGGACATATATCAATACACACAATGATGATTTATGCGATATAGAATAAAATATCTTTTATTGATCAATGAACATTATTACAAAGAGTCAATTCTACAATAATTGATTGGCTCTAGGGCACCTACTCTAACATAATTAATCCGCGAAATGTGTCCTCTATGTCAATGGCCAACATCCATTCATTATCTTCATCGTCATAAGAATCTGTCAAAACAAGAAAGCTCATGGTGCACCAATTTGTTAAAAAAAATTACAAATTAGTAAGGGAAATATCAAACCTCATCAAACTAAAACCAAAGTTCTAAAATTGAAAATAAACTTCAACAAAAACAAAATAAACTAAAAACACTTGGGTTGCCTCCCAAGAAGCATTTTATTTAAAGTCGAAAGCTCGACTTTCCCATGGTCCTTCGTCAATTCGGATCCTTGTGGGGTGCTTCACTTCCCATTGCCACCTCTTGGTCTTTCCTTTGGAATTCGGGCATTCTCATAAGCATCTTTTTGGAACTTCAAATTCGTATATGCGTACTTGAGATAAGATGGTGATTGGTTGAGTCCAATGTTTAGAGTCTCTTCCAACACCAATTTTGACTTGTGCGCATTTACACCAAATTCCTCAAATTGTTCCTTGTGAGGTGAGTTGCTTGGTTGAAAGTCCCTTAAGTATCTTGCATACCTTTTTGCTTTGAGATTTTTCATTAGTCTTGTCTTCATGTTCTTCCAACTTTTCTTCATTGTGAGGTTGCTCCAACACTATACCTCTCCTCAATGTTATGACATTTAATTGTTCTTTAGGATTTGTGACTGTTGTGCTTGGCAAAGAACCTTGAGATCTCTCTATCAATTGTTCAACCAATTGCCCCACTTGAACCTCCAAATTTCAAATGGACACTCCTTGATTTCTGAAGTTTGAGCGTGTCTCATTCATAAAACTTGTGGTTTCTTACATGAACTTTTCGAACATATCTTCCAATTTTGACACTCTATGCTCTACCAGTTAAAGATTCACCACTGGTTGATGGTTTGGCACTATCCTTTGATTTAATTGATTGCTTTGATTGCTCCAAGACAAATTTAGGTGATTCCCCCAACCAGGATTGTAGGTGTTAGAGAATGGGTCATTTTGTAGCCTTTGTGAACAAACCATGTAATTCACTTGCTCGGTTGTTCAGAAGACTAACTGGTTTCCATCTTGGCATTCCACACTCCCATGGTTTCCTACACAAAATTCACAAGTTATAAAAGGTAAGTGAATAGAATTTACATTCATACCTCCCAATTGGCTTTGAAGTGATGCAATTTGTGCAGATAATGTGGCGAACGCGTCGACTTTATGTAGACCCATTGTTTTCTTCGGCATTGCTCTCTCATTAGGTCTTTGATAGTTATTGTTGGCCATCACCTCAAGCAATTCATAAGCATCTTCTAGGGTCTTGTTATTTAAGGCTCCGTCTGCTGCCACATCTACCATAGTTTGAATATTTGGTAGCAACCCATTGTAAAATGTTTGGACTTGTATCGAAAACGATAGACCATGATGTGGACATTTCCTTAACAACTTTGTGTACCTCTCCCAAGCTTCATAGAGTGATTCATCGTTGCCTTGCATGAAAGAGATAATGTCGTTTCTCATTTTTTTCGTTTTCTCTGGTGGGAAGTGTTTTGCAAGAAACTTCTGAGCTAATCCGTCCCATGTGGTGATTGTCCAAGCTGGGTGTGACATGAGCCAACCTTTTGCCTTATCTCTCAGTGAAAATGAGAATAATCTCAGCCTAATTGCATCATCAGTCATTCCATTAACCTTGAATGTGTCACATATCTCTAGAAAGCTAACAATATGCAAAATTGGATCCTCATATGAATTTCCACCAAATTGGACTGACGGTTGGATAATCTGAATTATTGTCGGCTTAATCTCAAAGTTCACTGCAACAGGTGGCCTTGTAATACCAGAATTGCATTCTTGCACCCTTAGTATGGAATAATCCATCAATGTTCTATGTACTTCTGCCATGATCTCCACATGCACTATAACAAATAGTTAATTAAGCTTAGCTACAAAATAAAAATAAAAACTACAAACAAAAGAACTCAAGCTTAAGACTATACAATATTTACAATTAACTACAAAAATGAAATAAAAGCTTCAATTTAGCACTACACAAGATACTATCAATATTAATAATCAACTATCCCCGGCAATGACATCAAAAACTTAATGCGTATTTTTTACAAACATGCAAATGTAGCAAGTACACTAGTTGCAAAAAGAAATAAAGTGATAAGTAGAGTATCGTTCCTACGAGGATAGTGTTATTAAGTACTGATTTCTCTAGTTGAAGTCCTAATTGAAGCAACAATAAATTGGATTGATGGAAAATTAACAAACTATAAATGAATGATAATGAAATTAAAGCAAAACCCAACAACTTAACTAATTAAACAATGCTAAAAAAAATGCTAGGGTGTTGATTTCACTTAGATACGCTAACCCAAATCATAGAATCTATTACCCAAGTTATAATTCCTTGATTGAAAATTGAATTCCCTAACATACCTTCTCAGGCTATATTTTCCTACTTATCCCTATTAAGCTTCTGCACCCAACAAAATAAAGATTAATAGTTCAAAGTCTCTTAAGCTTTGTGAAATTCTATCTAGATTTTATAGATCGTGTTTATTTATCTCTAGTTTTCACTCAATCTATGGTATTTATCTCAAAAGGCACAATCACAAATCACTTCTCAGTCTCATTGTAAACAACATACATTTGAATGGTGATCAAGCATCCAAAAGTTATTAAGCAAAGAGATAAACATTCAATCATGAAATTAAAACTCAAAGTAAATCAATTCATATAAATTTGAATTATTGTATCAAGGTTACATCAAACCCTAGCTAAACAACTCAATTCATACTCAAAAACAAAATAAAATAACAAAAACAAACTAAATCAAGGTTCATCATTGAAAAACAAGCAAAAGATGGAGAAATTTTCTCTAATTTGAAGCCCAAGTCTTTAATAATCTTCTCCTGCCATGAGTTGCCTCACAAATGATGAACCAAGACCCTTTTCCTTCCTTTTCATGCTAATTTATACCTCTCTCACTTAAGGATGGAGCCTTAGCAAGCTGAAACGCATCGTTTTATTTTTCACATCTGACGCAGTTTCGTTGCGGCAAAATTTTTCCTTACACCGGCAAGGTTCTTTCGAACCAAATTTGAGCATGATAGAATCTGGAAAAGTGGTAAACATATTAATTGTATCCCTTTAAATTATCTTTCTAATAGTTCAAGAATCAGCCCAATAAAAGTTCCACAGTTCAAGTTATGTCCAAAATACTGAAGCACGTCCAAAGATGTTTTTCTTCAGTTCCCAACATACTGTTCACGACTTCAAGCCAATTTTTCACCCTCGTCCAATCAGAATTAGGAAAACCCAAAACATGAAAGTTGTGGCTCTACTTCTTAGCTTTCCAAAGCTTCTAAATTCAGGTCATTTTGAGTTTTCATGCTCAAGTTACGCAATTTACACTAAAAATTGTCATTTATGCTCAAAATTATTATTTAGGCCTACAAAGAAAAATTAATAGAATTAGGTAGCAATTATGGTCCAACTTGTATGAGAAGTATCCTAAATCCTATCGAAAGTCAATGCAAAATCAGAAGGAAAAATTGGATTATCACAAACCAAATACCAGAATCTTGCAAAATAAACAAAGATTACCCATGTTATCTTATATACCCCCGATTCAAACGCACCCAAAAGGAATTATTAACTTGGTAATTGTAATTTTTTTTTTTTTTTTTTTTTTTTGGGTTAACCTAATAGAGTAATACTACACCAACAACTCTCTCTCACAAACTTTTTCTCACAACCCTAACGTGGCAGCTTGCAATTGGTCAGCTTGTAATCAATTAGTGGGACCCATGCGAAACCCATGTGAGACCCGTTGTGAACTAATCAATTACGAACTGTCACGTCAGAGTTGTGAGAGAGGATTATTGGTATAATATTATTCAACCTAGTAACTATATAGAATACAGCCTAAGAGTATATAGTGTTTATAGTTTTCTCACCTCCAGATTTACTTGCACAATTTGCCAGCTAAATAATGGGAGATTTTAAAATTAATGATGAATTTACTTCAACTAAACCAATGTTTGACATATTTCATCTAATCTTAATAACCCTAATTTTCAAACAAAAATCTACACTGAATTTTTTTTTTTCAATTTTGTTCATATATAATATAATATAATATAATATACATTATATAACTCTAATTCTTCTTATTTATCTATTCCATCCAAAACGATATCAAATTTAAACTTTTTTCTCTTATAAACTTTAACCTACTCTTTAAGCCCCAGATAGGACTTGGATGATAAAGGGGTCAACTGTAACGGGCCGGGTCAGTATAATACAGCCGGCCCGGCCCAGTCTGTTTAATTTTTGGTGTTTGGACTCCTATAAAGGGGGATGAGATCGATGTGATAATAATGAAAATGAAAGGGTCAGAGATACAAATCAAGAGCAACGGCAACGTTCAAAGCCAAGGCCAAGCTTCGAAGACTCAGAAACCCCATTTCAGACCGGCTCAAGATGACACTAAGCCTCCCTTTCGAGACCCAGTAACAACTTCTTCTCTGTCTCCTGTCTCGTTTTTTTTTTTTTTTTTCGGCTTTGTATATTCAAGTATTGATGCCGTTTTGTTTGAATGGTAGATACTGAGATCAGACCCCATTGAAACAGAGGAAGCTGTGCTGAAATTGCCGCCTTTTTCTATTAAAAGATTATGATTTTTCAGTGACGATAAGTTTAAGATAAATGGGATTTTCTTCTTTTTTATTTTGTTTAGTGTTTTCATGGATTGTGGTTGTGTTTGGGACTTGATTAGTGTTGAATTATGTAATGATGTAATGTGATTTTGCAATTTTGCGTTGCTCTTTGAGATAGTTTGAAATTTTGAATGGGTGTTTATAAAATATTAATAATAGATAAAACAAAAATTGTTAATTATTTTGGTTAAGAAAATATATAAGAGTTTATCATACTATTTTATAAAAAAATATTTTAATATATTAAATTAAAATGAAATTTATAAAACAAAATAGATATTTAAAAATTTTCCTGTAAATTAATTCTTATAAAATATTTCTGATATGCATCCATCCAAGGCCTGAGAAACTGGTTCCCAGAAAAATAAAAGGCTCTGCAGCCTAAATGTTAAAGACATTTGTCACAATTCGCATATACATCTCTGTAACTGGGTTCACTTGGTTCATATTTAAACTTATAACTCAATTTTTTTACCAAGTCAACCTCACATTAATAAAACTGCATCAAGAGTCGCGTTTCAAAGGTAATATTACATTTATCCATGATTTATCTAGAGGGTTATGATCAATGTTCTGAAATCCAGACTAAACTAGACTTTTAGACCGGTTCAACTGGAAACTGGTGTCATCTCCGATCCAGTTTTCCCTGAAAACCAGTATTTTAATCAAATCAGATTGAGGTTGCGGTTGGACCGTCGAAATAGTGCCAAATCAAGATCTAATCGCGAGTCAATCCCGTCGGATTTTGGCATCATTCAAGGGAGATAACACCATCATAAGACTTGACGGCATCTCCACGACAAAACCCATCCATTTTCAGTGGCCGCCGTCCAACCTTTCGTCGCTTGCCATCCACTTATCGTTCACGCAACCGTTGGACTTCCTTCTTGATTCCGAAAAATTCCGACGCCATTAGAACTCCTTGACATCACCATAAGATTCGTCGACACCTCTACATCAAAAGCCCCATCATTCCAAACTTTGATTGGTTGTCGATCGTCGTCCACCTATTGTTCATACAACTGTCGACCTTCTTTCTTAATTCCGAAAAATTCCGACATCGATAGAACTCCTTGACACCACTATAAGATTCGTCAAAACTTATATATCAAAAGCCCTATGATTCCAAACTTCGATTGACCGTCGATCATCGTCGCCACCACCACTCACTAGTCTCTTCGCGTAATAGGAGTGTTTTGGATAGATTTCAAACCTTAAGGGAGTCATGCATAATTATTTAAGGGTGTTTTGATGAATCTCAAACATTTAAGGAGTAAAAGAATTTTACAATATACAGTCCAACCGACCAATCCAACTAATCAAACCAAGAACTAAACCGCTGAACAGATCAAAATTCAGTCCAATTTTCAAAATATTGGTTATGATAGTTAATTGCTATAAGATAACTCTCCCTAAAAATTAATTGAAATGAACATAACCTGACTCAAATGTGAAGAAAAAACAGAATCACGCTTCAAGTAATAATGAAAATTATTTAAATATGCAACGATAAAGGAGATACTAGCAAAAGCTGATTGTTCCAATAGAAAAGTAAGTTCTACTGATCTCAAAGTAACTCAAAAATACAAGTATCTATGGATTCGATCCAAAAAAAATGTTATGGATTAATTTGAAGTCGAAAATGATAACATGTGAACAATATGGATGTCATTTGAATAATGATTATAAAAAAAGGGGGCTTAGCCGGAAGGTTAAGATAATGTACAATTACAATTACAATTACAATATGAATTGTTCTTCAATAATCCAACATGTTACTTTTGAGTACAACAATCAAGCATCATCTTCAGATGATGCAGAAGCAAGTCGTTCTAAGATGTTTGGGAATTTTTGAGGTAATGTAAATAAAGGTTCATGAGTTGCCGATCCTTGAATTGCTAGACCTAATCCGTATCCTAACGCTCGAGCCACGGGCACTGCCACTGCATTTCCAACTTGGATATACCTTATATAAAATCAACAAAAGGGGTCAGAATCAATGCTGAAAAATTCAGGGGTGAGGCAAGCTTTTCGACTCTGGTTAGTGGTTTCGCGTAGTTACATAGATCATTTGGGGGAAAGATTGAGCTTCGAGAAATAGTTAATGCTCTTATCGATATCAAAATGTATAACTCCCCAACAATTTCATAAATGATTCTGGGTGATATTTATTTACTGAATATTAACTACTAATTAACAAAGAAATTTTTATCTTGACATAAATGTACCTTTCTTTAATAGGTCCGCAAAGCTTGTAATAATCGGGAAAACCTTGCAACCTTGAGTTTTCACGAACTGAAAGCACACGGTCTTGTTCCGGGTGTAAAATGGCCTATAAAATAAGTAATGATTTGATCAAAACAATGCATGTATTTGTCTAACCAAATATGAATAAGCTTAAACATAAACAATGGGATACATTACCTGATTGTGCGGTTCTGCTCTGGTAACCACTGTTGGCACTGTCTCGTCCCACCAAAGACGGGCAAAAGGTCTAAATTAAGTTCAGAAAGGATGTCAGAATATGATAGTTAATTAAACTGAACGTTATATGTAAAAATAGAAATCACTTACTTAGATGATGTCCCATCGACAAAGGTCATCGCATAATTAGGGACCTGTTCGCGTAGAACGTAAATAAGATTCTATAAGCAAAGCAGAACAAAGGATTTGAAGAAAATAAGAAAACAAATATTACCAGAGGTTTTCCAGACTCCAAATATATCCTCTCGACATTAGGATCCCATTCAACTTTATTATCTGGACGAACAAGAACTCCAGGTAAATCTCTAAAATTTGCTCCCTGGTTAATAGAAAATGAAAGACAGATTAGCAAACACAAAAATCCTGAGACTTTAATCAATTATTACCTGTATTTTGTTTTTGACTTATAACTTGAAATGTATACACATACACACCTTTCTTTTCGGGATCCTACAAACACGTTGATAATCGTCCGTGTTCAACTCAAGCGAACGATGATCAAAGAGCAACTGTTTACTTCGTTCTGACTCTGATGAAGAACCGATCATTTCTGCAAGATGGCCAAAAAGTTAGAATACATCTATTTTCCATGCCAGAGTAAATGCAAAAAGTTACAGAGACTAGAAATGTAAATTGTGTAACAGAATGATCATTTATTTGGTTAACTTGAAAAAAGACATAAATACTGAAAATAGTTATTGTGGCTGCAGAATGTGAAAGTTCTGTAACAAAATATAAATAAATTGACTAGAATTGCTGCATTCTGTGATATCCACAAGAGCACCAAACACCATTATAGGGTAACTTCAAAAGGCAGCAATAGGATATATAATCAATCAATAGGATATCAAACAACATCGATAAATAATTCATGTAACAGAATGATCATTTAGATGTTTTACTTGAAAAAAGAAACAAATACTGAAAATAGTTATGGTGCCTGCAGTATGTGGAAGTTCTGTAACAAAACATAAATTACATTGACTAGAATTGCTGCATTCTGTGATATCCATAAAAATAACAAAAACCATCATAGGGTAAGTTCAAAAGGCAGCAATATGATAAATAATCAATCGATAAGATGTCAAGCAACACCAGTAAATAATTTGTGTAACAGAATGATCATTTATTTGTAAATAATGTGTAACAGAATGATCATTTATTTGTTTTACTTGAAAAAAGAAACAAATACTGAAAATAGTTATGGTGGCTGCAGGATGTGAAAGTTCCGTAACAAAATATAAATTACATTGACTGGAATTGCTTCGTTCTGTGATATCCATAAAAGCACCAAAAACAATCATATGGTAACTTCAAAAGGCAGCAATTGGATAAATAATAAATGGTAGGATATCAAGCAACACCAATATGATTTCTAGAAGAATGCGAGGACTAGACAATTTAAACAGTCTCATGAATTGTTAAATTGATTAAGCAACTTGAGCTTACCATCTTTACTTAATCTGATGAACCTTTGAAACTCTGTCTCGGGATCCTTGTCATATGGCATCTCATCACGAGATTCATAATTTCCAACCTAAGGTTAGATATAAAAAATTAGATACGACTAAGATATGTAAAAATTATATAAGAAAACAGCAAAATGTTCAAAACATACTGCTGGAAGGTCAGAAATTGCATCCTTCAACAAAAGTTTCCTTTCTAGTTCCACTGAATGGCCCTCATCATATGCTACCGTGTTTCTCTACATCAACCAAACATGGTTTAGTAATAAATCTTCCATAAATTACAAGAAAATAAAGAAAGAAAGAATATCTGATACCTCAAACTCTGTAGGAATAACTCCTCTTATAACAACATCGTGGGTTGGGAGCGCGTACTGAGGTAAAGTCTGCAAAAAAGTAAATGTCCAGTTAAATAAAATCCATTGCACAACAATAATGTACTGTAAAAAACCATAAGATCACCTCTGTTGGTTGAGCTCCCCATAAGAAAACTCGCATCCGAAATTGGGGAAGCCCATATGCTCCAGCTGCCATCATTCCTAAACGGGCTTGGTAATTCATTTGAATGAGCCGACCCAAGGCATATCGTCCAAGATATCCTTTAGCAAACTTTACAAGGTCGACTACATTCTCCATCAAAACAAATCTTGGCTTTAGATATTCGACAATATCCATAAACACCATTAATTGTTTATTTTTTTCATCAGCCAAAGGATTATTCTTGTCCCTAAAACGGTTAAAGCCACTAACACCTTGGCATGGAGGCCCTCCACAAATCACATCCACATCGCCCTATATATTCAGAAGAATCAAACAGATAAGAACTATTCTAAACAAGCCAACAAGTTTGGGCTAAAAAGGATGTATCCAGTAAAAATTTATAAGAAGCTTACCGGCAAGGGCAGAACCTTTGATCTGTACCCATGAGAGACAAATTCTTTTATCTTCCCTGTACAATTACTGTTAAGAAAAAATTTAGTTGTACACACTTGTTTTTGAGCTATAGACAACAAAGCATGTGTGTACAATAAAATTGCTAAAAGGACAACAAAATATTGGCAACATACCTCAACCCTTGAATTGGTTCCCAAGAATCTTCATCAGGTCCATAATTTTTCCAGCGAACCTGCAGACAGAAAAGAAGAAAGGAACATACACGAGTTTAGACTCACAAAGATATAATAAGGAGAACATATCTGCATTCTGGCTGCTAATGATGATATGATTTGAAGAATTATGCAAACTTCGTGACATGGTTTTTCAGTTGCTCGTTCAGTTAAGGATTATAAAATCAAGCAACATGCACAAAAACAAGCAGCAACTTACATCTGATAAGGAATCAAAAACTTCAAATGCATATAACCTAGTTTTAATATTATAGTTCATGTACCTTTAAGTATAATCCTCGTTCGCTCTTCTCCTTTGGATTACCATAACAAATGGCTAGAATCTTCTCAACTTCAAAAACCTCAGGATCATCTTCCCCATCAGCCTCACTACTGCCATCATCTTCATCTTCTTCTTCACCTCCATCATCCACCATACCAAAATAATCAAATTGTTGCTGTGGATCTTTACTTTTGACCAAGGAAAAACTAATGCATAGCTTTTCCCACTCTTTTAGCAGTGTGAGAAAATCTTCAGCTGCTTCATTCCTCACCTATCCATAAAGTAGTCACAAAAGAGTTCTTCAAAGATGCATACAACACAAAAGAAATACAATTGAAAATGACATTCATTTTACCTCTGTCTCTGGATGGTTCAACTTGAGACTTCTACAAGCATGTTCGTTCAGGTCAACGGCCCATCGCTATTGAAGAAAAATAAAAAGGGAAAATCACTCAATCAAAAGAAACCAATTGATTCTAGAACAACTAGGCACTATTACTGTTTGTTATGTTTGATTACGCCAAGGAAAAGCTTGTTATGTTGGAATTATGTGAAGGAAAAGATGAACTTACTGTAACGAGATTTAAACCAGACATATTTGCACCAAGGCACAAACCAGTTGACATAGCACCACATCCAGAATATAGATCCAACAATGTCACCTCTGGCTTCTTATGCTCCATAACATCACACCCATTGGCATCCACTTCACTAGAAATAGTGGATGACGTCTCACTGCCAGCTCTCCTATTTTCTGCAAGTTAAACATCACAATGGCAGTTAGATTCTGATATATATTCATCAACGTTTGTTCAACACACACATAAAATAAATATTTAAAAAAACATGCTAAGCTGATGAATTTGGAGAATAAAGTGCATTTAAGTCCAGATATCAAGCTTTATAAAGTATCTAGCCATGCTCAATATATAGCCAGGATTAAGAATTAAAACAACCTGGTGGCAAGTTACGAAACGTGGAGTAAGGCAATAAATACAACATGTCGCAATAGTAATCACAAGTCGGGATTGCCAACTTTTTAGCCTCTAAGTCAACCTGAGAAGTAAACTGTAACAGTTAACAAGAAATGCAAATAAACAAAAACAAACCAACATTGAAACAAGTAAACAACAAACATACATTTAGAGGAACCCGAGCAATAATTAGTTTTTTCACAAGACACTCCAGCGGATTGTCATTCTGAATCTCTGAGAAAAAAACACGGTTTTTCTCAATAAGATGGGCATTGCTTTGAATGACCTGGAAAGACAGAAAAAGTAAATGATTACTGTGTTTTTTTATTTTGCTAGGAAAAAAAGAATACTTATATTAGGAGAAAAAGAAGATGCAAAAGGAAAACAAACAACATTTGAATAGCAACATTCTTCTGATATATCATACCGTGTCACAAGCTCTATAATACCACTGAGCAGTAAAATATAGTGTCCCATCAACTGCCTTGAACATCTCAACAATTTTACATATAAAATCTTCCTCCCCATCTCCTGCCTATAGATAAGGAAAATGATAAAATAAAAACCACATCAAAAACCTCATGTATCAGTATGAAAAAATCTAGTAAAAGATTGAGGTATAATTTATCATAACACCTGTTTAGCTAGGATCACGATAAAAAACATCAAGTAGGTGCAAGAGTAAGGGCTAAATCTCACAAGCCTTATGCTTGTATAATTAAAGAGCTGTTAAATAAAGAAAAATGCATTTGCAAAATATGACCAAAGCCATAGTGTAGGCACAAAGTCTGAATACGCTATATGTAATATCGCACATACATTGCAAAACATGTTGAGCAGAGAAGCTTAAAAAAGGAGAAAAATTGTGTAAAGGTTGCTGCCCAAAGAAAATATTTTCTTACTTGACAACAATTCTTTATGATACAATCAATTTAAAATCACACGAAAGAAGTTTCGAATTTCCATTCATCATTAGTATCATCTTTAATGTGTTAAATCAATTATGTTACAATTACAAAATACCACAACTCTGTATCTCAAATGATGTAACAATTGACTTCACAATATCACATAACTAATGTAATGATGGGATAATAAATGTAAATCTTTCATATCAAAAGCAACAATACTTGGCTTAGAAATTTGAGATACTGACCCACAAAGTTGAGATATTCACTTTTAAGGATACTATTACTATTTTTTTACTCCTATTCATCAAAATATTAATTGTTCATGACATATCCAAGTAAACGGAGGTACTTCAACCTTAGTCTCATAGGTTTGTCTGAAATATCAAGCAAGCATGACAAATCCACTTTAAAGAAATATAAATAAATCAAAAAAGATTTAAGTAGCTTCAGGAAACAAGAACCAAAGTACTAGGAAGAAACCCTGAAAAACTACTTTCGATGCAAGTACAAAGCACATACAAGTATATCAAGTTTACATACAAGAAGGATTTGCTTCTCAATCAACGTTTTCAAATCAAATTCCAGAAATCAATTATGTACCCCAACCTCATCCTTGGAAAATGTTTAGAAAAATAAACATAAATAAATAAACTCACTTTTACATGAGCGTCGTCATAAAGATCATAAATTACACATCCATCAACTTCCGCTTGCATGTAATGACATGAGGCTTGAATAAATTCTTCCGAATCATCATCCCTGCACAAGCAAACATATGAAGCATCAAACAGAACACAGAGATGAAAAGAAAAAGGTTTTTGATAAAATAAAATAAAAAATATAAAAATAAAACTATCGGACAGAAATTGGGAGTAACAGAGAATAATCTCATAACATAAAGTTCAAATACTTACTCCTTTGAATTCTTTGACACGGATTTTCTCTTTTCCTTCTGGAAACATCGAAGTTAAACATAAATTAAAAATAAAAATAAGGAACATAATTAAAGAAGTTGAAAATTTAGTATGCTGAAAGTTATGATTTCATTTTGATTTCTTCTGAGATAACACACTTAAGGAAATCAAAAGAACTGAAATGCATAAAATTGTATATCATCTTTTCTTCTTTCTCCTGCTCTCAGAAAATGATTAATCTTTCAAGACTTCTTTGATTTGCAATTCACCGACAAATTCATATTTTTAAGCACAACAAATACACAAAAACAACGAATTTAATGTAAATGTTCTCGAAAGCAATTTGTGAATAGCATTTCTAAGAACTAAAAATAATACTAATAATAAAGCTACAAAAACAACATTACAATCACCATTACTCAACTCAGACTCGTCAAAAAACTTAATTTACATTCATTTACCTACAAATTCATGCCCATTTTCGTTTTCTGGGCTTTGAAATACTAATTAAACCTCCTTAGACATAGATTACCGTAAAAATGCTCTCTGAGCTATCAACAGTCTGACAGAAACAACAATCCAACTCCACGTAATAAACTCCAACACACATCAATACATCAATTTTTACATCACTGCAGTTCTTTTTTCTACTTCAAAAACCAAATTTCATAAATCTTTAAAATATACAAAATCGAGGACTTCAACTTTCATTTCAGATTTACCTGTTCTGCGTAGCGCTTTGGCCACCGTTGCCTGGCCTCTTTACTGGGAACCGGATCTCCGAGAAAACGAGCTTCAGGCTCCTCGTAGTCTTCACTTCTCTTTTCCTCAACCGCCAATTTCTTTCCCGAATGGGCCGGAGAGGGCGTGGACTTCCGCTTGCTAGTCATGGCGGCTGCCGGCTTGAGGAGGATTGAACGGCGGCTTGAGGAGGATGCAACGGCGCCGTTTGGGTGAGAGAAAAGAATGGAAGAGTTTGAGAAAGTGTAGGAGTTGAAATAGGAAATAATTTTAGGGAAAGATGAAAATATTTGAACGCGCGTGAAATTGGGCGGGAAAGGGGAGAGGGAACGTTTTTTTTAAATGATTTTAAATTGCGTTTAAAGTCCGCCATTTTTACTCCTTTTTTTTGGGGGGGGTGGGAATTTTTTATTATTGGTAATTAAATTCTAATTATTCATTTATTTTAATTTGAAAAAATAAGTTTTATTTTTTTATCCTACTCATTGATTTACATCTGTTAATATTATAACTAATTCATTTATATTTATATTTATATTTTAGATAAATATAATTTTAAATATTCATATAAATAGAAAAAGTTTCTAGTGAAATAGATGTATTAAATAAGAAAATATATTAAATAATTATGTGTAAGATTTTATTAGATGGATATAATATATTTATGAGTGGAAAGTACTTATCACATTCAAAAAAACAAAATTCAATTCACAATCTGATATACTCGTTAATATATATGTGTTTTAGGGTCTGTGTAGCACGTTTTCTTTAAAAAAAAACTATATATTTTCATAATCTCTAATCTAAAATAGGCTTTTTTTTTCTTTTTTTTTATATGAGGTCTACTTGAATATAGTTTACAGAAAAACTCAATTTTAAGATAACTTATTTAAAATACAACTAAAAAAATAATTCAAAAATGTTTATGTCTTTAAATATAAAAAGTCAACATAATAAATGCACAATAAATAAGGTCTGACGACATAACAATACATGAACATAAAAAGTTTATGTAACATGAGGTCATGCATAACTTATAGGTATTGAATGAAAAGATACACGAGAAATACACGGGTGCGTTTGGTTCAATATTTATATACATATTTTCAATTATATTCCCTAAATATTATTTGGCATATTATTCCAGAAATATTACTATATTTTTTAATTATTTTTAGACCCCTTAAGCTTATTAATTTTATTAAATACCAAAAAAAAAGTTTAAAAATTAACAAAAACACCCCTATCAACCCATGCTTGTCAGATTCCGGCAACCACCGTCGGCGGTAGCCGGAATCTGTACAACAGCCTACCTGCCAACCAGAAATGGTCAACAGTTCACGGATCTGGCCTAAAAATGCCAGATCTGACGGCCAAAGAAATGGTCATCGTTGACGGTCAACGACGGCCATTTCTTTGGCCGTCACTGGCAGCCAAAGATGGACTTCTTTGGCCTTTTCCGGCCATCAACGGCCACATTTGGTCATAAATTTGGCCTTTTCTAGCCAGATCCGCGGTGGATCTGGTCGGAAAAGGTCATAACGACGCGTTACGACACAGATTCAACCGGTCTGTGTCGTAACAAAATTTTTCGGCCAGATTCCGGCAGTGGTGGCCGAAATCTGGCATTGCCGGTGGTGGAGGTGTTTTGGTCATTTTATATATTAGGGTCTTTAATTAAATTAGCAAACCTAAGGGCTTTTTTATAAATTTTTAAAGTTTACCTCGTAATACTCCCCTGTCCAACTACCCAATGAGTGCGTTTGGTTTATTATTTTTGATAGGATTTTGAGAATAATATTGAGTAGTTGGATAGGGGAGTATTACGAGGTAAAATTTAAAAATGAAAAAACCCCTAGGTTTGCTAATTTAATTAAACACCCTAATATATAAAATGATAAAAACACCCTCACCACCTGCAATGCCAGATTCTGGCCACCACTGCCGGAATCTGGCCGAAAAATTTCGTTACAACACAGACTGATCGGATTTGTGTCATAACGTGTCGCTATGGCCAAATATTGTCGTCGACGGCGGGAAAACGTCAAAAAAAGTCCATCTTTGGCCGTTAGCGACGGCCAAAGATATGGTCGTCGTTTTCGGTCAATGATGGTCATTTCTTTGGCTGTCGCTGACAACCAGATCGGTGAACTTCCGGCCCTTTCTGGTCGGCAGGTAGGTTGTTGTACAGATTTCGGCTACCACCGATAGTGGTTGCCAGAATCTAGCAAGTATGGGTTGCGGGGGTATTTTTGTTAGTTTTTAAACTTTTTTTCAAGGGGTATTTAATGAAATTAATAACCTTATGGGGTCTAAAAGTAATTAAATAAATAGGCTAATATTTCTGGAATAATATGCCAAACATTATTTGGAGAATAGGATTGGGAATATGGACAGAAATAATAAGTCAAACGCACCCATATTATTCCTAAAATCCTATCCAAAATAATGAACCAAACACACCCCACGTTATTCTATTTTATTTAATTCTTTTTAAACTCCCTAAGTTTGTTAATCTAACTAAACACCCCCAAAAAATTTAAAAATTGACAAAAATACCCCAACAACTCACATTTGCCAGATTCCGGCCACCACCGTCGGAATCTGGTATAATGACACACTACAGCTAGATCTAGCCGAAAAATGTCAGATCTACGGCCAAAGATCTAGCCATCATATTTGGTCGTTGACGACCAAATATGGTCAGATCTGGTCATCAATGGCCAGATTCGTCAATGGTCAGATCTAGTCGTAGATCTGGTCAGAAAAGGCCATGACGCACAACCGACCAGATCTAGCCGATCATGCGCCAATACAGCGACTCCGGCAGTGGTGGTCGACTGTCGGTATTTAATGGGTAGGTGGGGGTATTTTTGTTAATTTTTAAAATTTTATTATATGGGTGTTTAGTAAATAAACAAACCTAGAGGGTGTTTTTGATAATTTTAAAATCCTACATCATAATAACGACCAATTTTACTTTTTTCAAAATATTATTCTAAAATATATCAAAATAATGAACTAAGTGCACCCAAACAAATTTAAAGGAAGCGTAAATTTATCGTATAGGTGACACAATATCTTTATAACATTCTAGAATATTTCGACAAGAGTAATATCATTTAGTTCACTTACGAGATTTTGCATATGTTTAATATTCTACATTTTCTTAACAAGACTAATATCATACTACAGCTAAACTTTGATAAATTAATATCCTTGAAACTATGAAAATTTATTAATTAACCGATATATTATTTAATCGTATAAATTAATAAATTATTAATCTACCGAGGCATTCTTTATTCTCTTTTTTCAAAACATTAAACTTAATGCATGTACGTATTATTTATAGCTAAGGTGGTATAGAGAATAGCTTTTAGAAATAACATCATAAGTCTAGCTTATAACTAGGAGTTAATGTGATATAGGAATAAGGTCTAGGAAGACATCAATTTCAAGAGGAAACAAGTAACATTTGAGTCATATGTTACAAAAACCTCATAATTTAGTCACGTAGATATATAATTTTGATGTATAAGGAGATTATTAATTTATATATAAAGTGGTACCTATGTGTTTTTTTTTAAATATATTATCTTATAAATTTAGTGAATTATCAATTTAATACATTGATCTCAAGTCGAGACCAATCAAAAATATTATTTAAGTATGCAATAGTTTATATCGGCAGCATCATTCATGTTGTAGGCAACATATTTCTTAAGACCCCCAATCAAAATTTACAAACCCAAAGTGTACCCTTACAAATTTTAATCAACTTAAATAAAATTAATACTTTTAAACTCACAGCTCATGTTTCTCCATTATCTTATTATTTTCCTCTAATTTTTATTATTGTTAAAAGCAAAATTTTAGTTTCCTTTTTTTTAAAAGAACAACTCATAAGCAATTGTCATTTTCTATTCCTAAAATCTTGTTGTGAACCCTAGCAAGAGATATTTCTATAAGATGAGATGAGTTCTTTTTTACTTTTATGTGGGAGGCGAAAGTCTCATGCATGGTTTTGAGGAAATAAGTGAATAATCCTTTTTTTTAACAATCTTTCTATAAATCGTGCGAGATGAAATTCTGATGCATGGTCTTTCTTCAAATCATGCGAGATGAAAGTCTCGAACATAGTTTTGAAGAAAGAAACGAGAACTTGGGCTTCAACCAAACCCTAGCAAAAGATAGACATATTTCAAAGTTAGCCCATTGTGAAAACTTGGGCTTAATCCAAACCCTGTCAAGACATAGAGATATTTTGAAGTGAGCCTAGTCAAACTTAGTAAAGACATAATTAGAAATGGGCTTTATCAGCCCAAGTTTGCTTTTGGGTTTTATGCAAATGTCGTCTACCCACAATAAATCTAAACTTTCAAGATACAAAAACTATAAACTGACACAAGTTCTCATATTCTAGTGATCTGGGATGTCATAAACTCCCACCTTATGGCCTCACATCCTCGTAAGGTTATCACACCACACCATCGAGTCACAAGCTTAATTCGATACAAACTATAACAACCCGAACCAAATCAATCAGGATTTTGAGCTTCATATAAGCGTCATTCACCTAAAACATGTCTATTTAGCTAATACAACCCAATTCTTATAAAATCAATATCACGTAATCAACACAAAAAATTTAGAAGAAAAACATGAAGAAAATGAAAATGGGCCATGGAGTCAATATAAGGGGCTGGGCTACAGGTGATAGAATGAGTGGAGGCAAGCTGTATGCGATACGGTGAACTGGGGCTTGAGGGGTGGTGGTGGAGGTGTGGTGTGTGCCAATAAGGTGGGAATGAGGGGCAACATTGGGTGGGTGAGGGCAAGAGGAAGGGGGTGGTGGTGGTGGTGGTTTGGGATTCGAGACAACAATTGTTAAAAGAGAAAGTAAACAAAAAACGGAATTACCCCTTTAAAGTATGAGCAAATTCCTAAAGGAGAAAATTCCATTGGTAGCTATTGATGGATTTCAGATAGTTTAGGTGTAGTTTGATTAAAGTTGTAATACTAACAAAGGGAGTGACAATTTCTAAAACATCAAGGGGATAAGTGATTTTCTTACTATCCTTATCAATTAACCATGTTTGAAAGATCTTTTATTTTATTTACCTCTTTCCTTATGATCGAATGACAAACCCTTTAGTCACTGTGGTTAGTCATACTCATGGGGTCTTGTATTCGAGTCGCAGGAGAGATACCTACTATATTTGT